AACTTCTTCGTTCACCACTAGAGTAGCATTTTTTTTATTCCTTGACCATCTTAAAGGCCATCGCTTTGATTTGCTTTTCTTTGGAGACGTGTCTGAGAAAATGTCCGAGAGCCACTTTTTCCCACTTTATCTGGTCAGTGTAGAAAGCTGATTGTGAGTTCCTTATGTGATATTGAGGATCCTTAAAACATGTGAACCCTTTAAAATGTTTCTGTTTCAGTTGATTGTTCTGCTTGCTTTCTTCCTGGATTCAGTATGGTGTTAGGGTACAGTTCATGTGAAAATCTTATTTCTTGAAAAAGAGCAGATTTCCTAGTTTTCCTTTCTAGCTAAAACTTACACCAGACATCTGCAGAATTCAGTTATGCGAGTAGCTGTGCATATAAGTACTCAGTTGTTCAAAGCTAGTGCTTTTTGCAGTTAGGGTTGGGAAATAGGCCTTTATTTTTTTTTTTGCATGCTTCCTGTTCTTTAGTGCCTACATAGAGACCACAGTTGACAGCACTGTCCTGCCTAAGTTAGAAGAACAAAAAAGCGAGGGAAGTTGGCATTGCTCCTGTTTCTCAAAGGCTTGTCTCTTTAAGGGTAGCCAGCCTTCAAAGCAATGTAAATTTCCATTAAAATACTCTCCTTAAGAGAAGTGGGAAGGTAGGGATTCAAATAACTTATTTGGTTTATTTAGTTTGAATAAGTTTGTAATGATTTGTATCTGGTTGTTGGGTAATTCTATGGGTGCTTCTTAGGATCCTCTGTCCAATCTTGTTTTTGCTTACCTATGGCTCAGTAACTACTATACCATCTTTTCTATTGGCACCTTCCTGAGTACATCCATTTCTCAGGACTGATAGCTTTAGAATGAAGGAGTATTACCGAAATGTCCGGTTAGTGTAATCTGGCAACTATTCTTGAGGAGTTACTCTCAGCTCCTGTCTTGATAGTGCAGGTGGCTTCGTAATTTACATGGTCTTCACCAGTAACTTCCTTCCTCCTCCCCACCCCCCCAGTTGTGGTAGGAGGAGAAAGAACAAAACACGTGAAATGCAAGGGAAAGACTCTATTAGGAGAAGCTGTTTATGGTTCATACATGTTTCAGAGAAGCTAGAGGAGAAAAAAAATCAGGCATAGATGGCCATCAGTCCACCAGGAGATTGAGTTTCTGTTTCAGGTTTTATAGTGTGCATAGCTTTTAACAGTGGAACATCTTATGTTAGTGTCTTACATGAGGCTTAATGGCTTATGTTATTTCAAATGCCATCAGGGTAACTGAATGATTGGGTATTTTATGGCTTAAATCTCCTCTTTCATACTTCATCTTCCATCTTCTTCCTCTACTTCCATCACTTGTGATAAATGAGTCAATAGGAAACCATGTCAGCACTAGATGGAGCTGAACACAGTATTAATTCTGGAAGAAAGTGTTGATTCTGTCTGAAAAAGAAAGTAAAAGTGGGAACCAGGTCTCAAATGCAAGCAGTTAGTACAACACAAGGTACAGAAGGATGAGTTTGAGCTCGAGTACAGTCAGGGCAGACTGGTCAGGAATCACTGGAAAATCAAGTTCAGGCAGCACTAGTGTCCTAGTTCAGGTGGCTGAGCATGCTTGTAGCCAACAGCAAGCTGACCACTGGAAAATGAAGTGCTAAGATTTTCTTGCACTGAATAGCATGGCAGACCAACAGCTTCTTGCTCTGTAATCTGGTACTTTGTTAGCTGAGGAGGCAAAGCTCTGTAGCCAGAAAAAAACTTCTTTTGTTATGAAAGCTCTTCTTTTATTAGCAGTTAATAGACAGGTGAAGTGACATCAGGGCTGCTATTCAGAGCCTGCAGCTGGTACAGCTAAGTGGAAGCGGATGATGCTGCTTCTGCTTCATGCGGTGCTCCAGAGATGTCCATGTTAACCTTAAAGTGTAGTGAGGAGTAGGTTGTATTGTGTTTTGCTCCAAGAAGTTATGGCTGGACTGACAGTAAAGCAGCGCAGGAATGTCCAGCTACTTCTGTGCTGTACAGGGGCTGTGGGTGCGTATAATTGAAGCATTATTGTGTGCTTTTGGTAGTCAAGGAGTAGTTGTGCAAGTGGCAGACAGGTTGTCATGGGGAAGGGGAAGTTAGCACTTTGGTTGCTCATTGCTTGAATTTGGAGAAAAGGTCAGAGAAACGTTTGTTGAGCATGCTGCAGACGTTGACACATGTACAGAGATGTTAAAGCTTTTTGCTTAGGTATTTTGTGGATGAAGAGGATTGGCTGACCAAGCTGTGATCGCATGTATGTGCTTCAATTACGTACCGCACTAAAAGTAGTGAAACCAGCTCCTGGGTCTTGTAAAGCAGCTGGATACATAGGACTGAGCTTCCAAACCTGGCTGCCAGAAGAAGCCCTGGCTTGCATTAAACTCTGCTGGAAGTCACCAATGACTCAAACCAGTCAGTAAAACAGATATTTGGTATGTGCTGCTTAAGTTCTATTACTTCTGAATTACTGTCAGCCTTTGTTACTGACGTTTCTACTTTTAGTTGCTAACTTCAGACTGAATACTGAGAAAGTCTGCTCAAACCATTCTTTGCAAGACAGCGAAATTGCTGCAGTTCACTCAGATTACAGTGCTGGGATTTCCCTTACACCCACTGTGTCTTATGTCATTCCAGTGACACCTTTCCAAAAATAAAGACATAAATGAATGTTTGTTTTAAGGTAGTGACAGGTAAAGTAATTGCAGATTTAATTTGGCAGGAGTTTGAAAGGTGCTTTTCATTAATTAGAGATGATACCTTTTATAGAATCATAGGATGGCCTGGGTTGAAAAGGACCACAATGATTATCCAGTTTCACACACCCCCTGCTATGCACAGGGTCGCCAACCACCAGACCAGGCTGCTTGGAGCCACATCCAGCCTGGTCTTGAATGCCTCCGGGGATGGGGCATCCACAGCCTCCTTGGGCAGCCTGTTCCTGGTGTTTGCAGTGAGGCTTGGTACGTATGGCTTGGTAGGTCTCATGGAACATCTCCAAGGGTGCAAAATAGATTATAAACATGGTGTGAATGGTTTGGTATAGGAAGAGTGCTTTCAAAGGGTAGAATGAGAGAAGTTGTTCTGTTAGGTATGAGTGTTGCTGTTGAGCAGTCTGTCCTGCCTTGCTTCTGCCCCTGAACTTTTCTTCCATGGCAGGGGGAAGTATGAAGGCAGGTAACTCAGCCTGTTGAGTGCTGGAGTGCGTGCAGGGAAGGAGCAGAGAGCTTCTTCCTGAGGCAGTGGGAGCAGTTCTCTTAACTCAGCTGCTTGCAGGGCTGTCAGAGGGATCTTCAATTGAGCAGTGAGACCCAAAGCCAGGCCCCAGCATACTAACCCTGCAGGTTAGTTCTCAGTGAAGGTAAGTAAGCAGACAGAGCAGACAGCTATAGGCAGGCACACAGCCAGCATGGAACTCCTGGCCTGCTGGAGAGGAATGGTCTCGAAGGTGTTTCGATTGCCTTGAGATAGTTTTAAACCACAGCCATTGTAACTGCTTTAGCTATCTAGCAGAACATTAATCAGTTCTCAGATTTAAGCACGTGGTTTTCATGTAGATGTTTTTGTTGTTTTTTTGTGTGTTTGGTTTGGTTTTTGTATTTTTTCAAACTAACTTTTGGGACCCTGCTGTTCTTTTCTGAAAAATGCCTACTTCCTGGGAAGAGATAGGCTTAATTTTCTTACACAAGTCTCTCTGCAAATAATTTAGCTTTTAAATGTTTCAGAATGAGAAAATTCACACTTACCTCCTCTTGGATAATTATTTCTTACTAATGGTAACTGTTAGCTCTGCTATAACAGGGTTTACTCAATTTTCCTTTTATGACAGAACTCTAATGTGATAGAGAATGTGCTATTTAGCTGAAGGTTTGCAGCATTTTATTGCAGCTTCATTAAGAGTTGGTAGTTTGACGATGACCGCTGTGTATTTAAAAATCATGAAGCCTTTTTATCAAACATAGTGAATTGCAATGTCATGATTGTGCGTTCTGGATATAGAACAAACTTTGAGTGAACCAATAGAAACTTTGCCTGAGATTTGTATTGTGGTTTATGAGGAATAAAAAGATGCTGTTCCTGATAGAAATTTCCCATCCAGCATTTGAGCCAGCACTGATGATGTCAGTGGTCTGCTGCAGTTCTTCAGAGGAAAGTGGAGATGTTGTTTCGTGCATGTCAGCTTATATGAGTAAAATCACTTACACGTGTGTGCATATGAAATTATAAGAACTTGTGCAGCATGACATAAATTTGGGGGGTTGGATGAGGAAGGGATATGTAATAGTGTAATAGCTCTGAAATTTAAGAAATGTTTTTAGAAGGTCTGTGTCAATACCATAGGTAATGAACGTTCTCTGCAGTAATAGAGCAATAGTAGCAGCAGTTTACCTGGTAAATTCAGTGCTGTGAATGTGTTTGTAAAACTGCAGTCTCCTCAGGCATCTGAGTGAATCTGGGACATAATGATTCAGGTCTGTTGCTGCAAGGTGCATAGTGCAGAAAACTTCTGTGAGTGAAAGAAAGATCTTGAGAACCCTGTGAAATACTTCAGTGCTTGTTGTGACTATTGCAGGGAGGTCCTGTGGCTTGGTTCCTCTAGAAGACCTTGTGTGTGCTTGTGTGATGAACACTTATCACTGACTGGGGTGCTGTGACAGAATTCATTTAACTGTCAATAGGAGCAAATTAATTTCTACACCTAATTCTTCCTTTCTGCGAATAAAGGATGAAAACTTCTACGTCTTAAACTCCTGTTAAAAAGAAAAACTTAAAGATACTCTTTGGCGTAGTGCAAGGAAAGTAGTATTGAGGACTACTGTCCTTAAGTGTCCATAGTTTCGTTACTGTACAATAACTGAACGACATCCTGCTAATAGCTTATATTGGTATTTAACTGCTTGTGCCTTACACATTTGAGAGAACAGTGTCTGTAGTAATGCTAAAGTAGCAGTCCTGATGAACAAAGCTGGTAAATAATTTGTTGTGTGTTTTAGGTATTGAGGGCAATTTCTCTCTTGCACCATGCGTGAATACAAGCTAGTGGTTCTTGGTTCTGGAGGTGTTGGAAAGTCTGCTCTGGTAAGTATTGTGAGGCAGTTAAAGCATATTTCCAGATCTTCATCTTTCTCTGACTCTCTCTATTAACCCCTATTACTTTCATGTGAATAAGCACAAATAAACATAAGTAACGGCTGCTGAGGGTTCCTGGTTACAGTAAGTACACTCTTTGCAGTGTGCTTGCCAGTGCTTTCTTGGTGTATTCAACTCCATTGGTGCAGTTTGCACGCTGTTATTTCTGGATGAGTTTGGTTGTTTGGTGCTTGGTCAGACCTTTGCATATCCTACGCAGTGAAATGTGTAGCTGCTGCAGTATGGAGGTCTCTGGCTTCACTACCAGCCTGGCCATAGGTCTGTGGGAAATGAAGCTCTTTTGGGAGGCCAGCAGGGTGAACTGGCTTGCGTGTGCCTGGCTTTGCTAACTTCTGTCTGTACAAAGTTGTTTGGGGGTACTCTTTGTAATATTCCATGGTAGTCTCTAAAGCACTAATTTATTTTAAGTGCAGATACTTCTATCCATTTGTCTAACGTGTTTTCAACACCTTTGCTAGCAAATAAGTGAACAGCTATAGCAGGTAGGTGACCGCACACCAAGGAGCTTGTGCATTTCAGTTAAATTAATACAGAGAAGTTACAGTCGTATCAACCTACACTAGCACTAAAGAAGTTCACAGAATGAGATCTTCCCAGCCCACCTGAGAACTTCACATCTTTCCACTTAATTGTGTACAAATTGTGTACATTATCAGAAAGTGAGATCTAAGCACTTGTAGTTTTAAGTGCGGAGGAATTATTCTTTTACAGAGGAGTTCCTAAAGGAAGACCTACTTGACAAATCATTTTAGATTGTGAAATAACTTTTCCCTTCACTTCACAGTTCTTATTTTACCGTAGCATTTCTGGATTTGAACATGTCTGTTCTGAATTGGCCAGTCTGAAAGTTCCACTCAGGCTAAAATTGTCCTACATGCTAGGTATACAAGAATATCTTAGTCTATTTAAAGCTAGTAAATACTGGCATTTGTTTTTTGAGTAATTCCTGTGCTTGCAGGTGAGCAATGAAAGATGCAGTAGTTCTGAATACAAATGTAGAAGCCATTCAGCTGTACAGTATCCTCTTCAACTAATAATGATTCCAAGAGTTAGACAAACCTTTAATCAATGCTTATGCACTGAGTGACAGTGGCTAGAAGGAGGTGTGGTATTACTTTACCTGACAATACTTCATCACATAAGAAAATACCTCTAACTTCCTGTCATTTCACTTAATTTATACTTGTCTGTTGCTCAGTTTGCTTTCCAAAATGCAATAAATAACTGAATATACGCCTAGAACGGTAGTTTTTAACTTTTTGTATGCACTGTGCATTGTACAAGAAGGATCTTAGAAGAACTTTTGTGTTGCAGACTGTACAGTTTGTTCAAGGAATATTTGTTGAAAAATACGATCCTACGATAGAAGACTCCTACAGAAAGGTAAGTGTAAAAACTCTTATGCTTAAGAAACTTTAATGCTTCAGGCTGCTGTAGATGTTGTGAAGCATTAGAGCTTTTAGTTTAAAAAGGGTGTGCTTGATAATGTCACATACTATTTGCTAACTAAAGTTTGAAATGTAAAGATGCTTTTAAAAGTGTGCCTAAAAGGAGTAATGCAAGGCTAGCTTTTTAATGTTTAAGCATAATACCTACTAGCTAGTCAGGAAAAAGTGGTAATTTTATTGTTGGAATTAGGAACACTGAAGCACTAAAAAAAATATATTTTATACGTAAATATACAATTTCATGCTTACTAATATGCTACCACTTTTATTTTTTTAATTATTTTCCTATATGAGTTTACATGGATACATATGCACAACTACATTCTGAGTTAGGATCTGCAAGTAGACTTTGACCTGGATTCCAGAGTTTTCAAACTTCTTTGCTACTAAGAAAACGTACTAAACCCAAATTCAGACTCGCCTTCAGAATGCAAGCAGCAATGTACTACGTTCCTAACGGTTTCACTGATCTGCTTGATATGGTTCCATTAACTGGGTTGTTGTTTTATTAATAAGTTGACACAAACGTATCATAAATAAACAAACAGTGACCTGTTAGTTTCTCTTCTCATCCTCAGCATGACAGGCTGAAAGGTCTGACTTTGCGTGCATCGTCTTGAATTCTCCTCATTGCTCGTTTTTCACTGAGACCATGATTAATATTCTCAGCTAAGACAGTTCACATCTGGATTACTGACAAAAGAGTTAACTGTTTAATGAAGCAGATCAGTGTCAGTTTCTTAATGCTGTTCATTTTTTAGCTGAATTACTTTCCAAATGTGTTGATTCTCTGATGTAGCTCACCCATGGGGGGCCATAGAAATACTGGTGTTATGCGAGGAAGGCAAGATGCACAAACCATGGGTAGGGATGGACTGAGCAGAGCCTCCTGTTTCAGCTCTAGGGCAGTATTGATAGTGGAACGGAGACTGCGTTAGCAGCCTTTGCAGTGTGGAGTTACTGGAGTTTGTTCTGAACAGAAGAGGAATTAGCAAAACAATAATTTCACACTTGTTTTCTTTGACCTCACAGAAATCTAGCTCTGTCGGAAAGCCCATATGCTCAGAGCTTTTTCAGCATACAGAAGTCTTATTAAAGAGACAGTGCTAGCAAAATAAAAACCTAAAAATGTAACAGTGTTTTTTTTATGTTAGATGAGCAGGAATTGTGGAATCATCATGTTCAGTGAGTCTGACCCAGCAAAGGCTTGCAACAAGTGACTCTGAAAATATGCACAAGCTATACTAAAGTGAAATGTTTCCTTTGTTATATATTCCCAGTCTTCATGTCACATTAAATTTGTGATGTTTTCTGGATGAATTTGTCTACAGGCTGTTTCCATGGAGGCTGGAGAAGTTATCTCAAGAAAATTTGTGTTTTGACAATGATTTTTTTTTATTTTTTTTTTTTAGTGGTGATCTTACAATATTCATTCCAGTTTCGGTCCTCAAACAGAGGAATATGTCTGTATTCTTTTCAAATCAGTTAGATGAAGTCTTGCTTAAGTGTGGAGGACACTTCGTGATGTTATTTTCCTCACTCCAGTTAGTGTTCTAACCTGCTTCATGGGTAGTTTTAAAACACATTTATTGTGCAGTTACAATTCTGTATTGCTCATGTGAAATTTAAAGTATTTGAAGTTGAGAGGATGTGGCTTGAAGTATTTTTAAGTTTGAGCAGAAATGAAGAGAGCATGAATAGAATAAGTGAGCATGAAGTCTTAAAAGTCAGTCTTGATCTACTCCCCAAATATTTCTTCGTGAAGAGAATAGATGGTGCTTAATTAGCTGACTTTCTTTGTCAGCAGTCTATGCTGAAATAGTGACTGTTGAAGAAATTTTCCATCCCTGGGGAACATGAGGGAAGTGTGAGATGAGTGGAAATAACTTTTTCCTCCCTGAAGTTCTAATCTACTTACAAAAGAAAAGCTTAAAGTCAACCCGGAATTTTGTGCGCAGATGCAAAGAAAAAAAATGTGGGCAACCAGCCTGAAACAGTTTGAGGGCACTTTTATGTCCTGCTGCCCTCACAGCCCCTTTTGTTTGTATTTTTTTTTATTTGAGACTGACAGAGGAACTCTGAGAAGGATGTGGAAATTGATCTTACACTTTTTTACACAAAATTGATTTTACACTTACGCAGTTTTTTTTTTTTTAAAGTTGGTTCAGTTTCTTAATTAGTGTCTCTAAAGGTTGTGAAAAGTAAAGGTTCAGTTTCTTAATTAGTGTCTCTTAATTTTGTGAAAGTATACTTAGTGGCTTGCTTTGTGTATTGTATGCTGTATACCTCTTGTTCTCTTAGTGATTTCGATCGCAGTTGAATGAGCATTAGTGTGCTAATTCAGATTTGAAACGTTCACCTGTTCTTTCAGTCTGTGAATGATATTTGGAACAAATAGGAATCAGTTGTGCTAGTTGCTGATATTGCAAATTCAGCAACCTTCCTTTTTAATAATCAAAAATTCTTAATCACTTTGCAGAGTGGTACTTGGCTGCTGAAGCTGCTTTTGAAAATGTCACTGGGGCTCTTTCGAAGGCCATTTCCTGCTGGTTTCGGAGTGTATATTCATATAAACTTCTTAAGCAACTGTTGCTTTATGCATTATGAATCTGTTCATAAAGTCACACAATTGTAGTAGTTTTAAAGAGAAGAGTTGCAAGAGGAAGCATTCTAACCACTTCTATTTCTCTTGACAGCAAGTTGAAGTAGATGCGCAACAGTGTATGCTTGAAATCTTAGATACTGCAGGAACAGTAAGTAAAACCAGTTCTCCCAAGTTCTGTACAGTGTTAAAGCTTTCAAAAACTATAAGGAGTTTAGTGTAAATGATGACAGGTTTCCTTCCTCGTTTGCAAAAGAGTAACCGCGGTCACTGTGGATGTAAGTTGTTCTTCAACAGAAGTTTTGTTCTTAACGCTAGAGAGTTGCAACAGAAAACAAATTGCAAGTTTCCTGTGATCTAATGTTCTGTAATAGGAGAAATATCAGACTGAACGCTTTTAAAAGTGATTCTGCTGCTGTTTTAAATTTACAGTGCCTGGAGACAAATTTATGCCCAGTGTGGTTACTTGGTTTTGATTTCTGTTGCTGTAAAAATACGTACTTTCTTCTTCTCTCATTTCTCTGTTGTGCCTGAGACGGACTCCTGACATGAGGGTAGGAATAGTGTCTCTTTAGTCAGCTTATGGAGACTCAAAGCATAGGGTTTATGCTTACCCTTTGCGTGCTAATGTTTTTTTCCTGTCTTGTTCCAAAATACACTGAAACCAGTCATTTTTCTCACTGATTCCAGTGAACGTCCCTTGGAGTATAGTATGTGTTTTTTGATCTCTAATAGCAATCAGATCCCATAATCGTCTATTTAAACTGCAAAGCAGAGTATGGTTGTGTAAAACTACAGAAAGATTGAGTGGATACTCCTTGTAATAGGTTGTGCTTTTCATCTCATGTGTAGTATTTGGTACAGATGTAGAAGAAAAACTTGTATATGAAAATACAGGCTTCTTGGGTACAAATATGCAAAAACTCAGTGTGTGTTTAGTATGTGGATATTTGGTATCCCCTATAAGCCTAAAACTGACATCACCACGTCAGCTGCAGGTTTATTACCTAAATATCTTGTGTCATTTTGAAAACAATGTCACTGTTTTGCATTAGTGCTTGCCTCTAATCACAAAAGTAGAGATATAGTAAGATCTTGATTAACGTGTTCCAGGCATCCAACCACGAAAGGGGTGGACTTATAAAAGAAACCAGAAGTTTGGAGGAGTTACATATAAAATTAAGTCCCACTCCTCCTAAAAAAAAAAAAAAAAAATTACTGGATTTTAAAGCTGAAGACATGCAAACAGACAGAACTTTGAAATGTTTCCATTATTTAGCCTCATAAATCCTATTACACTTAGTTATGCTCCACTAGGAAGAGCTGCATGACCTGGAATAGTTGGATTGGAATACAGTTGTAGTTTGTGATCATGTACTTTCAATTGATAAACTAGCTCCTGGACTTGATGAATGACTGATGAATCACAAGATAGCTAAGTCACCAAGGTGAGTAAGGCAAATGCTGTTCCAGTTATACTAGTGAGAGCTCTCAATTGGGGACAAGCCCTAATGCTGCTGCTGTGTTGTGCACTGTTTTCACCAAAGTCTAGAAAACGTGACAAGTCTGTTGAGCATCTCTATCCTCTATTCAACCTCCTTGAAAATGAAAGTAGAATTTTACATAGGAAGTGTCTGGAGTGTAAAACGGAGATTGACTGGGGATGCAGTTACTTTGCAATGTATTTCGAAGAACAAACAGGAGACAGGAAAGAGCTGATATAGAAAGGATCCAGGAAGAATGCAACATCTGTAATCTACAATGTACTTGTTCTCTCTTTTCAAATTATTTCAGTTTCTGTGATGACTTTTTTTTTTGTCAGTGCTATAGCCTTTGGCAGTATCTAGATAATGTACAAACAGCCTATATAATGTTCCAGGCTTGGGATTTGTTTAGAAGTGACTTAACTTACTTTAGTGCATACAATAAAACAATAAAATACTAGTTTAAAAAGGGGAGAGCATCATACTTGTAAAACATTTGTAACCTGAAGTATGTGGCAGTTTGTATAAAGAAAGTGCAAATTTAATGCAAGCTCTGTACCTATTTTTTTAATTACAGGAACAGTTTACAGCAATGAGAGACCTATACATGAAAAACGGACAAGGTTTTGCATTAGTATATTCCATCACAGCACAGTCTACGTTTAATGATTTACAGGATCTAAGAGAACAGATTCTTCGAGTCAAAGACACTGATGATGTAAGCATCTCTCTAAATGCTGAAGTCTTCTGCAGTTCTCATTGCAATGTTGTAGTGTTTACGCTTTGGTCAGATAGGTTTCATGCTTTAGGTAAGAAACAAATCAACCAGCAGATGCGTAGTAAAGAAATGCAACTCTTGAGGCAGAGCAGGCAACACATAACTTGTCATGTACTCCATAAAGAGAATTGTTTAATTTCTACCTTTCAAATGCTTAACTTGAAACTATACATAACTTTATTCTCTAGGGCTGCAGCAACATGTCTAAAGCAACTGTATTTTTACTTCCATTACTACACAACTAAGTTTAAAAAAGCCTACAGTGTTTCTCACTGCTTGTGGTATTTTGAAAACAAAATTAAATTTTTCCAGAAGGCTGTATTGAAAGCTTCAAACTTGTGTGTTCTGTAGCTTTACATTTTGTACATTCTTGCGAGCACGTTTGGTCGTACTGTTTCCACACAATTTCAGCATGCAGCCCTTAGTATTATTAACATATGAAGTGAAGCTAAAACAAATCTATAACTGATCAAAAAATCTTAACCTTGGTAGAAAGGGACTACTTTTTCCATTAATAAAAGGAAAGGTATTTCAAATTTCAAACATTATAAAGCCATTATAAGCATTTCAAACATTATAAAACTATTTTTATCAGAAATACCTTGCATGCTGAGGCACTAGGCAGAGGAGGGGAATAAGATCTTATTTAAGCTGCTGGTGGAATCTATGATCCCTTCCTTCAAATATCTATGTATGCTTCAGCTCTTGGCAGACATAGCATATTTTTCAATTTCATTGAAACTTACTGTGACTCTTAGAAAGCACTTTGCAATTTATTAAGCCTGTGCATCTCCAGGTCTTGCCTATATTCAGTGTATTTTATCTCAAAGTGATTTACTACCCATTATCACAAGCGTATCTTGAGAAAGCAGAATTTAACTTTCACACACCTCTTCTTTCCAAAACCTAACAACTGCCTTTTAATTTAAGTATTAATGTATGTACAGAGTTGAACTAAAGTCAAAATAATTCTCAGGATATTCAAAACCTTAATTTGTGAGCTACATTCATTCTAGTTAGCATAAGCCTTCCTTGGTCGTATCATATGGAATTGTATTGCTTAAAGTTCCTCTCAATCTTCAAATACATGCCAAGGATTTTTGAACATGTTGAAGTCTTGTAGCAGAGTCATCAATAGACTTTTTGATGCCTTTAATTTTAACAGTTGATGTCTATGCATGTGAAAGTAAAATCCCATTAAGAACACTTAGTACATGTAAAATTTACTTAATTAGTGGTTTGTATGAATCCAACCATTTGCAACTCCATACAAAATGGCAGACAAGAAAAAATGCAGTCACTTTGAAGCTTCACAGAAGTGTAAGCTTAAGTTTCAGTTATACCAGAACTCAGTTATGCTGGCAGTCAGGTATCTTACATTGTGCTTTTCCAAATTGTTAATGATTTCTATGCTAACACTGAATTGTTTTTTAGGTGCCTATGATTCTGGTTGGCAATAAGTGTGACTTGGAAGATGAAAGAGTTGTGGGAAAGGAACAAGGTCAGAACCTAGCAAGGCAATGGAATAATTGTGCATTCTTAGAGTCTTCTGCAAAATCAAAGATAAATGTTAATGAGGTAAGGCATGATACCTGTGTGACGGAACGGTGGCAGATAAGAATGAGACAACATTTTGTTAACTAAATGCTACCATACGTCAGGAAAAAATCAAAAATAACTTTGATTGTAATGGACAAAAGTATACCCTGTTATTTTGAGAATCTATGATTAATTTATATCAAGGGATGCAGTTTACTTTTACTTAAAACTTTAAGTTTTCAGAAGTAGCTGATTGGAGAGGAAAAAATAAATAGATGCTCTGCAAAAAATAAAATAAAACACACAAAAAGACCATCTCTTGTATCTTGCTACTTATTTAGCAGGATCTAGGCATCTGATCAAGCGCATGCATTTATGCATTTTTAGGACATGCCATAGTATATGCTTTCTTATTCAGTGGGGGTGTATCAGCATAAAGAATCTGATGCAAAAAGCGTTCAGAAAAAACTGTGTTTAATATTTACCTTTCTGGAACGGCTTGAATTTTATTATAAACCCTGCAGTTCATTGTGTCTGCTGGAAAATGTTATTGACAGTGTCAGTCAAGTTGAAAGGCCCTCTGTGCAAGACTTGTAATCAAATGAGTGTGGTGATTTTATGCACAGCTGACTTTAAAATGAGTAATGAATATTAAATTAGGATTTTCTGGAAACTATGCAGTTGTTCTTAAAAATGTATTTGCTGAACTCTGTAGTAAAGTTCTGTGTTTAATAAACTGGAGCTTATTTCCATCAAATACTAAAAGCCCTTGCTGGATAGTTTGCTCCTTTGCAAACAGTGCCCTAGAAAACTGCTAGGAGAGCTTTAGTGTGAGGACTTGATGTGCGAGATGCAGATATAATTGGCACAATGTCAATTATGAACAAAACAGCTGCTATTTAACTGCAGTGCTTAGATTTGTCTTAAATCAGCTTTTCCACAAAGCTGTAGTCTAATCAGAATTCTAAGGAGACTCAAAGTGTGAGTCTTACGCTTTACCTGTCTAGGAAATGTAGTGTTGTAGTTCTGTAGAGGTTGCTGAATTAATTGGAGGTAATAGTGTATGCTAGTTGATCGTGGTGGCATATTGTTATTTTCAGGTAAATTTGACCCACAGATTAAATATCTTCTCAAAAGTAGACATACATTAAGTGTGCAGCTTAGCTTTCCAGCTTCATGATAATTAAATATTAGCAGAGATCTTTGAGTATCTGAGTAAATAAGATTGAAGAGTTGAGGTTGTGAGGGAATCTTCTTAATTCCAGTAACCAATGGACGTTTATATTCACAGATCTTTTATGACCTTGTGCGACAAATTAACAGAAAAACTCCAGTGCCTGGAAAAGCACGCAAAAAGTCATCATGTCAGCTACTTTAATACATAGCTGTACTGTAGCTCTGAGCCAGGTAAACCTTTTTAAAATGTTCAGTTTTGTGTGTTTTGACTTGAAAAAACAAATGAAGCAAGCAAACAAGTACACTTGTAGCTTCTATTGTGCAGAACTGCATTAAAAAATTCCTGATATCTTGAAGCTTTTATGATGTTAACTGCAGAATTTGTGCAAGATGCACTATTCATACTGATACAAAAAAGTTTTTTCAAGCTTTAAGGTGTTGATGAAACTCCCATTAATGACACTTGTCCTGATACTTCCAACACTTGGCTTTTGGAAAAAGAACTTTTGTTTTTTGGAGGCTGATAAAATATACTGCAGGAGCTCAATTATCAGGAATGCACACTAAAATATTGATGCTTTTAGTATACAAACTACCACTTTAAACTCATCCTCATATTTGCATGGTGTTGCAGGAAAATTCCTTGTTTTCTTTGGACTACATGGATGTATTATAGGCTGTGATATGGTTAGTGGTTGCATTGGGAAAAGGGTGGTGAAGGGATCATTGTAACACTCCAAATATTTGACCTGGAGCTACTGTTATTAAATTAATCTCCCTTGTTTTGACAATTTGCTGATGTTCTGCCTAACTAAAGCTGTGTTTTAAGAATGCTGTTGAAGGCTCGTGCAAGTTTCAGCCTGCCTCTTCAGTAAGCTTTTTCAAGAGTTAGTTGTGATATTTATTTTTTTTTCCCTACAACTTGCTCTTGAACAGTTTGTTTCCTCCTCTCCCTCTCCAAGCCCTGGTTTGGGCAGAGGTCTTTCTTGACTGGCAAAACAGGAGGATTCCAGAGGCATTAGAGTAACAGATATTATTGCTGCCTTTCCTTAACAGGGCTTTCAAACTAAGAGCTTTGATTCTCCAAATGTGTGAGTGCAATTTCATAGCCATTGGAATTGTCCTAGTGTAAGGAATTAGTACTGCCCATCAAATATTGCTTCCACAGTTCAGTTTGGATTACCATGTGTATGCCAACTCAGTTTTACTTATTGACTTGTTGTTATTGTGCATGTACAGTAGAGGTTATGTTAGTAGAGGAAAAGCAATCAGGTTATTTTCTGAGCATATTCACTAATAACTTTGCTAGTTCCTGCTTCAGTTTTTCTTAACTAGACAGTAATAACTATTTGTCATGGTTTGTCATTTTGCTGTTACAGGTCTGAAGAACTGTTGCCCAATTCAACAGTGCCAGCATTCCAACTTTATTAAACCTACCAACATCTTAAATGGACTTTCCTGTGGTGGTACCCTTTAAGAAATGGATGAAAGCTACTACATCAGTTTGCACATTCTAATCACTTTCCAGTGTCACGAGAGATTTTTACTTATAAATATTCTAAGTGTATGCAACTGGTAAAACCAGAGCCTACATCCAGTATTACTGATAAGAGACATTGTTCATCCACCAATGTTGTACATGTATGAAAACTGTGTACTGTATACTTCAACAATCCCCACTTTCTATTGGAGAGTACAATAATGTAAATCCTAAAAGCACCACTATTTTAGCATAATAAAAGAAAGTCCAAAGAGCTCCTATATAGACTACTCCAGATAACTTTGCTTCATCGGTATTTGTAGCTTATTGTAACTTTTTTAAAGAAATACAGGATCATCATCATCGTATTGTACAAAAGCGCTTTGATTAACACAACAGCTATATAGTTTTTTAATTTTAGGAAAAACCTGTGGAGACAGTGATCTAGTCTTTAAGAGTCCTTTCAGTATAACGTCTGACTAAAGACATGGCCTTTAATATCTGTTGGGAAGGAAATGTCCAGACTTTTCAACCTTTTATTGTATGTTTCCTTTTCCTTGTTTACATAGGGAACAATGTTTATAGTTGTGTGTACAGTGGGGGTCTACAACAAGAAGTGTATATTTTAAAACGATTTTTTAATGATTTAACAATTTTTTGTAAATCATTTTCGGGCTTCTGCAGCTGTAGATTCTCACTGTGAATTCTCTTGCTTGCTCATGCATAAGTGTATTTGCAATACCAAATATACAGGTTTAGTACTTTTGCCTGTTAGTGATTGTTTTACATGTGTAACGTTTTGGTTGAGATGTTAAATGGTGGAAGAGTACTGTGGATGTGAATGTGGGAAGTAATTTTAATCATGTGTAATTGGTCACAGGGCCTAAGTTGCAGTAATTAACTTTTTGCTGATTTATTTAACAATGCCTTGTTGCTTTGTATGCATTAACGTTTGGGTGTAAAGATTGTGTGTATATCCAACAGGGAGCCACAGTATTTAAATTGACCAACCTAATGTTACAACTGCTTTGAGGTGGCCAAATGTAAACTAAAAGCCTTAATTAAAGTGGTGCAATTTTGTATGACTTAGCATCAGTAGTTCAATAAATTTGGATTGCCATGCAAGGGCTTGCATTACAGTTATATACTACTTGAATGTTTTGTGTTTTGGTAGAGCTAGTAAATATCGATTCTAGACCTCTTGCACAGTGCAGACTCACACATCATATGACGACAAGGAACACTTATTGCTTTGTCTTTGGACAAATACATGCCACAGATACTTCTTGTAATAGCATCACATGTACTAGGGCAGAAGAATTTCTGAGTGAAACTTCATTTACTGCTTTGGACGTGGAATATTTGAAATTCTAATGTAAGACTAGCTCCCTTACTGAAAAGTGTGTTTTCAAAAGTAGACCAGCAGTGACTTTTTTGGGAAACGAAGGATATGTTGCCTATTCTTTTCCTTCTTTCTAGGAAGAATCTTTTGTTAGAATTAAAGGAAAGAATATATCTTGGGAGAAAACATGATTTTTCTGGACAATTAAACCATATTTGTTTGATTTCAGGGAGATCTGCAGAAGAGCATTCTTGAAGTATTAAGTGTAGTTTTGCAGACTTCACAGTCCAACAGTATTAACAGATGTAAAGTGGAATGCATGGACTATGGATGATCTCCTGATCTTGGCTGTGCTTTTGAAAACTGTCACGCCCAAATACTTGGTACCTCTTTTCTTTTTTCCTCTGGCATGGAATTATCAGAGCTTGTTCTAATTCCTTCCTGCAAAATCAAATCAATTCAGTTTTATCTCAAAATTTCCCAGCCTTAGCTACTTCACTACCCACAGTGAATTAAAGAGGCCATACAATCCATTCTGCTGGTATTTTTGTCAGTCGCTGACATTTTTTAATGAGGTAGTATAGTCTTTCACTGTGCAGAGTTGGAATTAAGACTGAAATTTCTTCCACTTTACCAGAACATGTGGCTGATCCCCATAAATGTATTGTGGCACACTCTGCCTTCTGATTGGTCCCCAGGGCAGGTTAGGTTTGAGCAGTGGGTGCTTAGTGTTTTTTGTTGTTTGTTTGTTTTCTTATAAGCTTGATACTGATTAGCTTGTCAAGGAGGAAGGTATTTTTCCTCCTTTCACTTCTTTCATATTCAACATCTGCTTGTTCAGTTCTTATAATGCTTTTATGTCCCAGTTGTCATTATCTCAGTTTTTTAATGTGTTTCTCTTCTGGGCAGCTGTACAGGTGGCAGTAGGTGAGAAGGAGAGAAAATTCTTTGATAACATCAGAGGAGACCTTTGCTTGGTCTCAGTGTCCAACCAAAAAGTACTGATTATAAGGAATGTCAGGCTTTGTACTGAAAGCTCTGTTCTGAAACATTCTTGGTTGCGCTGTGGAGTAGTAAACATACAATGCCTCAGCATTAGGAGTAGTCTGTTTTGATCAAGCCACAGGGAAGTTAAAAATTTATAGAAACTCTACGCTTTTCCATTCAAAGACTGCTGAAGAAGCAAAATACACTTTCATCAACACTTAGAACTCAGGCTAGACTTGCAAAATCAATGAATGTTAACCCAGGTGGCAACTAAAAACCATTATTGTTCTCCTTGAAAGCCTTAAAGGAAATGGTGTCCCGCTTGTTAAAGGAAAGATGCCTGGCAAAGTGATGCAAGGTGATGGACATGAAGCATAAGGGGAAAAAGCATGAAATTATTTTCTTCCTACCTAAGTAATTACAGTATACGAAGCTGTTCTTGCTGGGGAAGTGAACATCCAGTTCCTCCCAGGAATTGGAACTATGTAAGCATTTAATTCTAGAAAAGAATCCTGTCTGCTGAAGTTTTTTTGAGAACTTTTACTTCAGGATAACTGTTTTCTGTACCACACTTAAAAAGTTCACAGATGAACTACTTGTGTAGGGACAGAACACTTCTCTTAAAGCTTTGGATAAAAGCCTGCATAATTCATTTGAGAAAACTAATGCAGTAATTTTCCAAATTCAGTATTAATACATGTGTATTACTGCCTGTAAAGTTAGCTTATGCTTACAGTGCGCACAAAGGTTGACTGCTTTATTTCCTACTTGTCTGGAATTGGTGTATGTCAGTATTTAAATGTCTGAGCTTTCTATGGGAAAAAGTAATGTTTATGTCCTGAAATACTTAATGAAATTGCACTCTTCCTATTAGGACTTTTCAGTCTACATTTATTTCTTCTAACTTGTTGCTTATGCCCTTCTTCATTCTCAAATTATTCTGTGAAATGAATGTCTACTCGCCTAAGTTACAGGAATATTTTGAGACTGTAAGATGTTTTCAGAAGCCCAAATGAACGCACTGTAAACTCAAACTACTACTGCTCTTCTGCATAAGAAAAACATAACTTCTGGAAAAGTGTTGTAGAGATAGATGTTAAGTTTGTTTCATAATGTGTACTGATACTGCAATGCTAGAAAGAGGAGGTGGGAACAGAATATTGTTGGAATTTTGATTAAAGCTGTGTTTTTCGCCTGTACTGTTGTAATTAGACTTGCTGTTTCCTCATGGGTAAACACTAAAGATGAGGATTTTCTTTTATAAAATTAAAATTTGAGGTGGATCAAACTTGATGAATATTTCCTGAAGTCTTCTAGGAAGCTTGAAGGGGAGAAATCTTCCCACAATAACAAACTGGTACTAGATAGGCCTTGTCTTAGACTTAGAAACAACAGAAACTTATTTCTAGTCTTGGAATGTGAGAGTAGTCTGCATACAGGTGTCTAAAGTTCCTATTTTTTAAATTGTAATACATCAGCACAGACAGAAAGCTTTGTATCTGCTATTCCAGCAGCATTAAGTTATACTTCACTTTATAGCTGTTCTATTTTGCCTGTGTATGCGGAGAAGAATGAAGGCAAATAAAAAGTTACTCAAATACATCACAAAACGTAGTTGTATGTAGTTCCCTAAGGTAGCTTTAGAAAAGCTTATTTCTGAGTATCAAGCACTTTAGTCTTTCCTTTGAAAGGCTTATGAACAATTTGAAGATTCTTTAAGCTTAATTTTAATGCTCTGTTCTTTAAAGTAAAACTCTGGAATAATGCTTATTTATCAAACTTTATGTTCTCCTCAGTATGGAAGTATAAGCAAAAATGTTTTGCAGTGTCGTGTTCTCAGTGTTGCAATATCTGGACTTGAAAAATCAGAAGTGTGGGTGCTTTGTCTTTCCTTAAATATCCTCCAAAACCATTTATTTTTTTGTGATCTTGAGTCATCAGGCAAAGGGTGGGTTCCTGTTTTCAATGAGTTGTTCTTTAGGGAGAGACTTGTGAATGGAGAAAGGAATGTCTTCATAATTCTGCTGTGTTCACTTTGGCCTCAAGAAATGCTAGTTCTGCATAACATGCTCCACAGTTTCATTGTTTTAAGAAAGTTCACTGCCACCAGAATTTATTTTCTTTGAGACTGTGGTGTGAGGTGAATTCTTTCATTTGAAGAACAGCGTGGTTTGTAATTAATTTGTGCAATTGTTTTGGCTACTGTAACGTGGAAGGATAGAGCAGGAAGGGCGTGCTCCTGGAATCTTGGATACAGAGTGAAATCAAAGTGGAATTTACAGTTCCTTCTTTGGTCAGTAATCATTATGTTTTCATATTACGTGGCATCTTTATACTAATAAATCTAGCAAGGAAGATACACTAACCACTTGCACACAGTACAAAAATCTACATGTTAAACTCAGTTCCCATAAACCGGGCTCGATGCATGTAATGAGGCCAATACGACAGATCTTTGGCACTACTGTCGTGCTTTTCAGACACATGGTGACAGTTACAAATCATCTTAATCTTTTCCTATTTTAAGTTAATAATTATTTTAGATAGTTTGCTCATTTTAATCTCGTACATCCTCTAAGCCGCATGAACCTTCTGTACAGCTCGTGGGGAGCACACTCCTTAGGGATGACCTTTTGGTGGCAGTTGGTGCTAGCTGATGGGGTCTCGTTGCTCACCCAACCTGTCCGTGTGGAGCTCTGCTGTGAAGATTATGACAGCGTGGCTGCGGTCAGGATCAGCGTTGGTGCAAACGTGATACTTAATGGCAATTCAGAAATCCATTTCATGATTTAAATCTTAACTCCTTTGTATCGTGCTAGAAATGCATGCTCTGCTTCTTGAGAGCCTTCCTAGTTTCTCTTCAGCTGTATTTCTTCTGCTCGGTTTTCATGCCCGGACTTTGAATGGAAGCAGCGCTGAGGGGAGCGTTTTCTTTTCCTCGTCTCTCATTCGCTTCCAGCTTTCTGCCCTGGACAAGGACCAGTCCTGGAGTTTGGGCTAGCGCCAGACCACCGATCCAGATACGAACCTGTGCGTCGCTCGTACTTCACACCGACGTTACTCCGTTTTTTGAGGAAGCGTTCAGAACTAAAGCACGTTAAACGTGTAACGTTGCAGTTCTGTGCAACTCCTACGACTTTTCTTTCCCCTGCCACGGCGGCTGTTGCCTCACACTTTCACAGCAGGTTCTATGATACCTGGACAACTTCAGCCCTAAGGGCGTTTTTCTTTAAGCCACCTCACCCACCCGGGGCCGCAGTACCGCGGACGGGCACAAGACGCCGCCGCCTCACAGCCGCCCGCCCCGCCCTGCCGCCCTCAGCCAGGCTCAGCGCGCAGCCGCAGTGCGGCCACGGCGCTCACGGCCGGAAGCGCGGCCTCTGCTTCCGTGCTGAGGGCCGGCGGAGGCGGGAATGCTCGAGTGGGGCCGGGCAGCCATGGACAGGTGAGTAGCGGCGGCGGGGCCGCCGGTTCCCCGCTGTCTTCCGCCGTCACCAGCCGTCACCAGCGCCGGGCGGGTTAAGAGTGGCGGCGTCTCGCGGCCCTCCGTGCGGCTGAGCCTCTCCGCGGCATCCAGAGGAGCCGTGCCAGCCTCATGTAGTGCAGTGGGATAGTATTATACGTTGTGTTTATGTAAGACTTAGATTAAACTTTATGCTGTTGTGTTGTTTGGTTTTTGGTTTTTTTTTTCCCTCTTGCACGTATTTCTTGAAGGGAGCATATAAACAGGAGGGGGAATGGCTGTTTACAAGGGCAGATAGTGATAGGACAAGGGGGAATGGTTTTAAACTGAGACGGGGAGGTTTAGGT